AAAAAAAAAAGACGAGAAAAAATGGGCAAATAGAGAGATGTATATGTTTTCTTTTAAACTATATATTTACTGAATTTTTATGATTATCGAACAAGTGTTTTGTTTTATTGAAAGAACTTTATCCTCTTCCTTTTTATTTTTATTTTCTGCATCAATCAACGAAAACAACAGAAAAGCTTTTTAATAGACAGTAAAGCAACTGATTTTGAGACAAGGCAACCGTCTAAGATGAAAAATGACGTTTTTTTTACCGATTCTTTGCGAACATTATTGAGGCGTTTAGCAAATATTGTTTGTTTGTATACATTTATATATATATATTTATATATATATCTATGTTTATATTAATATTTATCTTTATATTTATGTATTTTACCTTAACGTTCACAATAAATAAAAGCAAAAAAAATTTTTCTCTCACCAATTTTGGACCAACAAAATGCTCTTTGAATAATACAGTCACAAATACACACACAATAAAGTTCTAAAAATCATAAGCAAATTTGCAAAACAGCAAAACAACTTTGCTGGATGACATTGAATAAAATCATCATCATTTTTGATCATTAATCTGGTGCAGTATATGCGAATCAACAGTTTAACTGTTGGTTATATCCGCAACAAACTCCACTGTTTTGCACCCCCGGTCAATCATTGTAAAACTTTTGCAATTTTGGGAAATCTCCTAATAGAGCGGTAACATTTTCAACTGTTTTCAGAATTTGTACAATTTTCTTGACAGTAACACTTTAAAAAACGTTTCTTGTTGTAAAATATCTAAGTAAAAGAAATTTACACCTTAACATTAAAAAAAAAAAATTTGTACTTTTTCCTCAACAACAAAGCCTTATTTCTTTTTTCTTCTCTCACAGAATACAGCGCTGAATATAACGAAGTTAAGCATGAATAACCCTGGTGATCATTCGACTTTCCTTATACAAGAAAAAAAGAAAACCAAATAAAAAGAACTAGTTTTTTTTTTTTGTTGTTGTTGTTGTTGTCAGTAAACAGATCGATGAAAAAAAGTCACCGATAACAATTTCTTTTTGCTTTACATTTAACAATTAAATGCTGTTATATGTTAGTGACTAGTTTTTGGTTAGAAAAAAATTTCAGCAGTAAATAAGTAATGAAAAACCGTCCACAAAAAAAAGAAATTTAGCAGCACCAAGTATTATACAAACAATTATCTAAATC